TTATGAGGCATACAGACACTGTAGAGATGGTAACCATATAGTTTAGTCACATGGTAACCATATCCTTTACTCACATTATTAATTGATTTCTATCTGCTTGGTCATCAAAAGCAAAGTACAGTGAACAATTTTTTTTTTTTTTTTGCATTTGGTATCATTATTCCTCCAGGGCCGAATCAGTACCCTGGCATCTGCATTGAACCAGCTGCATTGGCAGCAGAAAATGGGCATCACTTCTGAAAAGATTAAATGAAAAAGTATCTAAAAGTAGTTTGCTCTTTAGGTGGAAGAACTTAAAGGAATTGGGCCAGTAGCATCACTGAGGAAACACCCAGTTGTCTTTCATGACTAACACCTGCAATGCCAGATCTTGCTGTCTTCCGTAACATTGATGGACAAACTAGTGGGGGAATAAGTAGCGGGTCTGGGTTTGCACAGAGCAAATTACGGGAGCAGCATGAATTTCCATGTTTACTGTGTTTAAGTTTACTGTGGAGATAGTACATACATACAAAATATGTTACAGGCAGGTTACACGGTTATAATCTTTAAGGTGCAGTCAGGTCAAGAGGGCCAAAAAAATTAGTATCCTAGCTTGACAGTGCTGAGGCCTTCTGTCTCTGTCTCTTTTGGCTCTGTACAGACACTGATGTTGTAATGAAACAGTGCATGACTCTAGTGGAATTTAGCCAAATTGTCTCTTTAATCTGCAGTTTACTTTTTCTCCCTGGATCAGCCAACTCTGACTGTATTGAATGTAGGACCATTCTGTATTATGGCAAAGGTTTCATCTGCATCCAAGGTATTTCTACTTTAATTAGGAGAAAAAAAAATAACAACAACGCTTTTCATGTCTCCACTGTGTCTTTTATAACAGATTAAAGTTAATAACAGTTAGTCATGGGTGAAGCATTCTTGAAAGATATAGCTCTTCTATTGCTTTTTTTTTAATCAGTGAGAGGAGTTATTTTCTCTTGGCACATCTTTTGAAAGCACTTCCTCTTCTGCCATGCTACTGCAAAATCCTGACTTTAATGAAAATTGTTCCCAGGGGAATCTCAGTAACAGCCTTTTTTTTTTAATGAAAAATAAAGTTTGGAGCTGAGTAAGGAACAAAAATGATTTACAGAAGATTATCAGACAAAAGAAAAGATGGAATGATATGCAGATAGTAGAAAGGAGAAGACTAGAGATTTCAAACAGAAGAGGCAGATATATATGTTTGATGACTCTTAGAAACCATTAGCAGGACTATCACTTCGCAGATCCAGCAAATAGAAGGGCTTGATGATATCCAAGGTCAAGGATATAAGTTATCGATCTGAAGTGAAAAGGCTCTTTATAAGAATGACATAATCTTTCAGGTAATGACAAATGACATTTTGAAGTTCACTCTAGAACAGACAGAGATGATTGTGCCAGGCTGGAGAGATGCCCGGAAAAGTGGAAGCTGAAGTGATCTGCCCAAGGAACAGAAGAAACAATTAGAATAGTAAAATGAAGATCAAGCGGCAGTTTAAGATTTTATTTTGGATTTTTTGACCATTGACAAACATTCGTAAACAGCTTTCTGAGAAATAAGACTATATGGCCTCCTGGAGCTGGGGTTTGCATGATAAGTAGAGGAAAAATTACACACAAAAAAGAGGGGAGAATAGTTGGACAGATTCATATTATCTTCCTTTCTGTGTCTAATACATAGGAAAGAAAAATGTGTTAAATAAAGGCATAACAAAACATTAAGAACAGTAAGAGGAAATAACTATTGCTAAGACAATGGTCAAGTAGTCAGTACCGAAGGTGAAAGAATTCAGCCTATTCTGGCTAGGAAAATGCTTGAGTTAGAAATAAAAAGAAAAAAAAATCTGGACTAGATGCTTATTTCACACAAGGAGCCTAGGCAGACAAATGGAAGAACGGAAGGACCTAACTAGCCTGAAATCTAATATATTGATAATGGGAACATGCTGTGATAAGAGGTATTAAAGGTATTATACACTTTGCAGGAAAGACCAAAACAGAGATTAATGTGCCTCTTGCGGATACGATTGATAAACTTTTACATTCATGCACTTAGTTCTTGGTTCATCATCTGTTTGGATTAGATCATCATGAGGAAGGATAGGCAATAGATTTTTATTGAAATCATATTGGGAAGTAATATTGAAATACATACTGAAACGATACGAATGAGTTAAATATTAAGACACCAGTATTTACTTGTCTATATGTAGATGTCTACTTGTTAGCTAGATGTTTAGCTCCTATTACAGGCAAAGGAGATCTAGTCAATACAGGCACCTGAGCGTTTCGATTCATGTCTAGATTCATTCAAGCAGACATCTGTGCTGGGATAGTTGTGTCAACAAAGGGACTTGCAGCCGTTTCAGTGCAGAGTAGCCCACTGCCCGGCCAGAAGGGCATGTGCCTCCTGCAATCCCAGTATCCTATCTGTCAGCAACACATGGAGACATGGCTATTCTTGGAATGCCTATGGCATCTGAGATGGCACCGGTCGTCTGGGTTTAGCCACATGAACTGAGTTCTTCACAGCTGCTCAGCTGAATAATTTTCTGAGCTTCACTGATTGTATTGATTGTGACTATAGTGGGAGCTCAGTTCACATATGGGCAACCAAATTTAGATAGCGTCACCTCAAACTGAATCCCATCCATATAGTTAAATATAGATAGGAATATAAAGTTTGAATGGATATGCATTTGAATAAAATATTATTAGATGACTATTTCCAGCAATTATATCATGTGTGATATTTGTAAATAAAGACTAAAAAACAAATGCTATTAATAATGATGAGGCACAGATCTCAGTGGATGTTGTATTTAACACATTTTATCACACAGTCATGGAAGAAAAGGAGAGAATGCTGCTTTAGGCTTAGGAAATCTAGCAGAACATTGTAGAAGAGCCAGTCAAAAACTGTTAGATCACATGACAATGAATTAATTCACTGTAATTTAAACATGTATATATTGCCTAAGTTTTCAGTAAGGACAGAAACAATGAAATGCAGGACAAAGGAAGAAATAGCTAATATCAACAGGTGCTTGGAAGAGGACATGACATGACTGTAACCAAATCCTAAGCCGGACTCCAGGAGTTGGATATGCTCAAATTGAGGGAAATGGGTAATCTCCACTTTAGGAATCTGAAAGAACTGGCTTGGTATGTCACTGATATGATAGCAGGTGGTTTTAATAAAGTTGTGGATGATGACATTGTGTACCACTGGAGAAAGGCAAATCTTTTGTGCAGATTTAAGATGGAGAAAGAGAGGACTAACTGGGGCAAAACCAAACTGAAATATGGATTTATGAAAGGTGGCTCATTGTATGTTGACTTCCTTTGATGGGACAATACATCTATTCACAGGATAAAAATAGTAGCTCTATTCACTATGACCTCTGATAAAGAATTTGATACAGTGTCACGTAGGAAGTGACTAATTAATGAGAGAAAATGAAAATTAGTATATTTGTTAAAGGAGTAAGGAGCTGGCAAGTGGAACATGGTAGTGGAGACTGGTGAGGGAGAAGACAAGCAAAGTTGTTCCAAGATCAGGTTTACAACTAATCTCACCATTTTATTCATGACTTTGACACACATGATAGAATATGACATTTTCTCCTGATACTAATTCTGTAATGTAATAGAGATCTGGATGCTGTGTAAAAATAGAATGACACTGAGAACTAGATTATTAAAAATGGGATTAAAATTTAATAGTATAAATCAGAGGTTTTGAGCATAATAAATTCTGTTATGACCTGGAAGCTGATCACCTGGACACAGCTGCAGAGGAGAATCTGGAGGTGCTATTTGATCCATATTGACTGTGAGCCATCACCATGGAGCTGTGAAAAAGGAAAACAGAATCCTAAAATTTCTCTATATAGATAGAGAAGTATTACTACCTTTGTTCAAGGCAGTGAGATGGCTTCTGGAGTACTATCTATGGATCTGCTCTCCCATGATTAAGAAGGGTGAGCTCCAACTTAATGTACAAAGGGGCTACTATGATGATCAGATGAACAGCCCATTATGTTAGAGTTGATTTTTAAAAGCTCAGCTTATTTTTCCTAGCAAAATGAATGCTAGAAAAAAGATATTCCTGTTTTCCATATGTACATCCTAGTGGCAAACACCAGAGAGAAAGAAGAGCAATTGCCTTAAAGATAATGTCAATGCAAGAACACATGGGTATAAACTGACTGTGAGTAATTTGAGGCAAGGAATTAAAAAACTGCCAACTCTTAGAGCCTCCTAATAAGAATGTATATAGTGAATGGAGTGGATAAATTTATGAAAAGGATTACAAGAAGCAGTTTCCTGTCATAGAAACTGAGGAGGTCACACCTGGATATACATCCTCAGTGTGTCCCCACTACACAGCAAACAAAGAACTGGCCAGTGCCACTAACCAAAGAGGACTCTACCACTGTTATTCCAGCTCAGCCCAGTTGTAGACAAAGTAAATGGCTATACATCTAAGACAGTTTATTTTCCCTAAAACATACTGCTTTCTGGCCAGGTTGTTGTGAGTTATCTCTGACATGCCATGTGACTCTTCATCGGCCCTCCTGGCAAGCGGTTTCAAAATGGATCTCCAGGTTGGATCTGAAATCCTCCTACTGAAAAGTAGCCATGGGAGTGAATTTTGGTTAGAGATAGGGAGCAATTCTGGGTGGTCACCACAAGGTGATTTGGCTTACCTAACAGTAGCAAGTCAAAAAACTAACTCTGTGTCATTTTAACACAGTGGAAATCTGAAGTGCTTAATGATAATAGTACCACATAGTTAATCACTTTTTTCTCTGTGATGTGCCAACAGGAACCACGTAAACAAAAAGGGAATGATTAGCAAATAGAGTGACAAAGATCATGACACCTGAAGAATAAGGACTGTGGTGGTGATTTCTGACTGTCTTTATGCAGAATGGGATTACTTGAAAATATTGATTTGTTTGCTATAACTGCAGGGTTCCTTAAAGCAGATTCTTAAGCAACTAGAAGAAGAGAAGAAAAGTCTCCAGAACCAGCTAAAAGACTATGAACTTAGACTGGAACAAGAAGCAAAGGTTTGTAATCTCTGTATGCCTCTACTCTGTAAAAGCCATTATGTTGTCCGACAAACAGTCTAAAACAGTGGAACACACAATAGATATCCCAGAATCACAGAATAGTTGGGGTTGGAAGGGACCTCTGGAGATTGTCTGGTCCAAGTACCCTGCTCAAGCAGGGTCCAAGCTAGACCAGGTTGCTCAGGACCAGGTCCAGTCAGATTTTGAGTATCTCCAAGGATGGAGGCTCCACAACCTCTCTGGGCAACCTGTTCCGGTGTTCAACTGCCCTCACGTATGTTCAGATGGAACTTCCTGTGTTTCAGTTTGTGCCTGTTGCATCTTGTCCTATTGTTGGGCACCACTGAGAAGAGTTTGGCCCCATCCTCTTTACTCCCTCTTTTCAGATATTTATACGCGTTGATAAGATCCCCCTGAGCCGCCTTTTCTCCAGGCTGAACAGTCCCAGCTCTCTCAGCCTCTCCTCTTATGAGAGATGATCCAGTCCCTTAATCGGTGCTCTCCGCTGGACTTTCTGCAGTAAATCCCTGTCTTTCTGGTGCTGGGGAGTCTAGGACTGGACACAGTACTCCAGCCCAGGAGGCTGTTGGCCTCCTTTGCCAGAAGGGCACAACGCTGGGTCCTGTTCTGCTTGTTGTCCGCCAGGACCATCAGGTTCTTCTCTGCCAAGCCGCTTCCAGCAGGTCAGCCCCAGCATGTACTGGTGCATGGGGTTCCTCCCCAGGTGCAGGACTTGGCATTTCCCTTTGTTGAACTCCATGAGGTTCCTCTCTGCCCATTTCTCCAGCACACTGAGGTCCCTCATAACTCTCCCTCCATAACTCTCTGGTGTGTCAGCCACTCCCCCCAGTTTTGTATCATCTGCAGACTTGCTGAGGGTGCATCACTGAAAATGTTCTGGCATTTGTTTGCTTCTTCCCTTATGATTCAACTTTTTAAATATTTTGATGAATTGTAGCATGCAATCCTTATTTTAAGTGTAGGCTTACCACAAAGCCAATGATGAGCGGCGCATGTACTTCTCAGAGATCTTGCAGGTAAGAAAAAACTATAGCTCAATAGCTTTTAAAAATCATTATGCTCTTTGAATACAGCAACAGCAGCTATTAATGCCATGAGGCTAAAGTCTGTTATCACTGTATCCATCTACAATATCAAAAGCTGAGTGTTTATTTTTCACAGTCAGTAATTAAAGGATTCCTTTATTTGGCTTGCAGTTTGTTTATTTTTAAGTAATTTTTCCTTTTTGCATCAATTGGAATTTCATTGCTCCCAAGGAAGGATAGTCATAGTGCCTTTCACTGAGAAAGCTGAAGCAATTGTCTGATACTTGCTTACCCATCCGGTAGTCATGAGTATCATGCTGCAGTTGAATGTTTTTGCTAAAATGAACAGAACAAAATTATTAGGAGCTGGGACACTCACGTTAAGTTTTAATTCCTCTTTTTCATGTTCTCTCTTTTTTCTTTTAAAGACAAGTTAGCCTGCCAACTCAGAATGACAAAACTGTACATACTTCAATTAAATTTACAGCAGAAGGGATGAGGTACCTTATTTTTATGAAATCAGAGATTAGATTTTATTGCTGCAAATTACATGGTACATAAAAATGATTAAAATGAATTGTGAGGAACTTTTAAAGATTTCTAGTACTTCTTGTTCTGAAAGAGCTCTTAATTCCTGAATAATGTAAAAGTAATAGCTTAGTGTGATACTCAAGACCTATGCGGTGGAATGACTGTCACTGAATCCCTGGCATAGCTAACTGGGGTGAAAGGCTGTAATTAGCAATGTTTCCATGCGTTTGCACAGCAGTGCAAAGTGATTCTCTTACGTGGTTCAGTGCTGCTTTGGGGATTCTGGAAGAATTGCTTAAGCTAGTTTTCCCGACATTAGACCAAGTAAAAGCTCAGGAAATGCCAGTGATAACTGTTAATTTCTTCGTATTAGCAGTGACAGTGGAAAATGCAGGAGGAAGAAAATGATTTTATTACTGAACATGCTAGCAAGAAGAGTGCCCCCTGCATTCTTAAATTGTGTTCAACTGCACTTAAACATTTGTACTTTAAAGCTACACTTTTAACGTTTACACTTAAACATTGTTTGAAGTGAGGAATATGCATTAGGGAGAGCATTTGGGACTAGGATTTTGCCACCTGCAGTGAAGGTAGTTAGTGCTTACATTTTCAGTAACTGATTGCATTCCTTCAAAATAATTTTAGGGCAAAATATTCAGATTCATTTCACCTAGCTTTAATTCTCTGAATGTTAAACATCCAGTCTAAAGTAGTTGTAAAGGATTCTCTGTAATCTGTGGAGAGAGAAAGGCATGTTTAAAGCACAAACCATCACAGCTGTTTTAGATTAAGATGAAATGAATTTCCTGCAGAGTTATCCATCTCTCTTCCTGAGCTGTAAACAGAGCCTAGATGATTTGTTTAGATAACACCTTTACCTTCCACATGGGTAATCTGAACATGATAGTCAACCTCATCATGGTTGATTCTTGGTTGCAAAAGGATCATTAGCTTATCTAGTCCCTTCAGGTCCTGTTTTCCTATGAACTTGAGTTGATTCTTGCTTTTATGTTATTTTAAAATCTACATATGCATGCCTTCACTTTTAACAGATGATTTTAACAATGGAGGCATAAATAAATGTATGTACCTCCCAGACTGTTTTGGCTATATTAAAATTTCACTATCCTAGAGTCAGTGCTGTCAAGTTGGCAGCACTTGAGTTAAAGAGATTTACCCTTAGGCTAATATTTTCCATACATTCCAAAATAAATATTACCACAGGATGTTGTTATCCTGTGGCAATGTATTCCAATGACTCTCTCGTAATTACAGAGAATGGATGTACTATCTTTTCTGGACAATTTTTCCTTATTATGTTTGTGCTTTTCTATAGCTCTTAATAAAACGAATACAATGGAAGCTTTTTATTGGTAGGTGTTTAAAATTTTCAGATGCTAAAAGCTTTTCTTGGTTTTTTTTCCATTTTATTTTGGAACCCTGCTGCTGCCTTCAGAAGCAGAAGCAGAGGAGAAAACTGCTTCTGAGCAGCTGTTTCTTTTAATTAAATTTTTTAGTTATGTGCTTTTCTGCGTTTTTACAAAATATATGTATCTTCTGAGTGCTTTTGTTGTTTGTGTTGTCTGGATCCATAAGGAGGTAGTCGATTTTAAATGATATTCTTAAAATAAACTGAACATTGCACAAACTTTGGAAGTCACGCTACAGGCAGCAGTGATTTGTGGTTATATTCTTGTTTGCTTTTTTTGTTTTGCTTTCTGTCTGAAAAACTGTTGGTTTTGGATTTGGGCTCCACAAAACTCCAAAGCACTTTCTGGTGGTTTTCAGAAATTTAGAAGTTTGAGAAGCAGGCGAAGAAGATCCAGAACAGATCTTTAAAAGGACCTTTTTCTCAGGCCACATTTTTTACTATGAGTTTTTACTAGCATAGTGGAGTCTGATTTGTGATTAAGATTGCCTTGCAGAAAAAGAAACATAGATTTTGCCCCTGGAAAACTGTTTGTGCTATTGTGGCTCATTTTAGTTGGGGCAGCCCTGGAGTAAACTTTGCCAGCAAAAGCTGTGCAGTGGATATTCATTTTATACCATGGCAGTGTATATTCATAGAAATAAAAAATCTGTCAAAGCAGTCATAGCATAGGCCTTGCCTAATGGGTTGCAAAATGACAGGTGTTAAATCATGCTTGCTGTCGTCTTCACTAGAATTCTTTCAGTGCAAAGAATTTAGTCTTGCCTTCAAGAAATTAAATCCATGCAGATCCTATTCCTTTTTTATACATGCACTCCGAAAAAATTCTAGTTATACCTGACTTTGCTATGAGTGCGTCATCAATACTTGCCTAATGCATTATATACAGGGAAGCACATTAGAAGCCATTGTCTTGCGAGCAGTGAGACATGTGGTTCTTTTCAGTCCCAGAGTTTTTTCTGAGAAGTGTAGGATGTTTTCACACATGCTCTAAAATGAAAAGTTAAAAATAATCCAGACTTCGCATCTTGTTTAGATAGCCCTCAAATCTCTAAGCTTTCAATCTCCAAGCTTTCAAAAACATCTTCACTGTCCCGCTGTAGCTGGTACCTTGTACAGATAATGATTATTATGTATTTATTGCACATTCCTGACAGATCTCTTTGAAGGGGCTGAGAAAATTCCATTCACTTGCACCACGCACAGGTGTGCAAGGCAGCCAGACAAGTCCCACACTTGCTACATTTTCCATTTTTCTGTCCATGCTATAGTGTCTCTCTGAGAGGAAGTTCTAGTAAAGGCAGCTGGATAAGCCAGCAAGTGCTGGGTGGGGAGGCAACAGGGTGAGCTAAGGAAGAAGAGAACCAACTGATTTAATCCTCCTCAGATTTTGTTATGTGCAATACTAAGGGCGATAACTGCTTTTTTTAGATTTTTAGTACGTCCACTACTGTAGTTGTGACCTCCAGAGTATGCAGAGATTTCCATGCTGTAGCATTTTTTTTAAAGTAGTTCCTATTCTTAATTAGTGACTTAATCATTCAAAAGTACAATTAAGTAATTATAATTTAATTAGTTTTGTTTCTCATATAGGAAAATATTTTAGAAACATAGTGCTTCTTCATTGAAGATACAGAGTTCTAGGCAGTATGACCAAAAATACACTGATTTGGAATTACATATTCTCTGATTATCCACTTTACTAAATAATAGTATTCTTGTACAGCAAGAAATTTTTGCATGTATTTCAGTCCCCAAATCAACAAGATATCAGGATAATATGTGCCTAAAGTACTCTGCAGCATTAAGACCATAGCTGGTCTAAATTAGTTTGCAAGTATTTTACTTCCTTAACTGTGATTGTAGTTAGGTTTTAACTTGTTTTGTAAAAATGTGACTATTACAGACCTCAGCTACGCTTAAACTTTTTGAAAGGCAAAAACCAGATGCAATGGCAGAGAAGAGAGAAAGCCAGATACTGAGGTAAATTGCTTTTATATTCCCTCTGTTTTCTGGTTTATTATTTTTTGCTTTGAATACTATAACTTCCTGCTCATATTAAATATCACTAAACATAGTCCTACTGACAAAATGTGAATGTTTAGCATCATTCTGGTACTGCATTACAATCAGTTTTATTTAATATTAAGTATGTTGCAAGACTGAAGGTGAAGAACTCAAATATTTAAGTGGCCTTTTTGGAATCGGACAATACTTTTGATGTTCTTCCCTTTCAGCCTCTTTTAAAAATGGATCAGTTTTTCTATATTACTGCAGAGTTTGAGCAACAGTTATGTCCTCTAGTCCATTAAGAGTAACTAAATTAAATGTTTAGCCTGGAGCTTTTCAGTTAGCAGAGGTTGTAAGGCTTTTTTGTGGATAAGAATGTGAGTAATTTTAGATGGCAATGTCTAAAGGCTTAATTGTTTAACAGATTTCTGGTCAAAGCAGGGCCGGGTTTTAGTTATATGAGTTCAAAAATTTAATGTGAAAAGAGCCTAGCTGGAGCTATATAGAAATAAAATATATTTCTGCTTTTTGTGGTCCTTGTGAGAAAGTTTGAAATTAGAGGTGTTTTGTGTTTTTTTTTTAACTGAACTGGAAACATTAAGAACATAAAGTACTAAGAATATAGGGAATCAGATCAAAAGCATGTTTAACTCAGTATCCTGCCTCCAGTGGCCATAAGTAGACCCTCAAAATTGTGTGAAAACAGGGTAGGCAGATAAAATGTTTGCTCGTGGTGCTTTCCCAAATATTTTCCATTTGGAGACTTCCTGAGCTGCTGTGGTTTCTGCGTCACAATAAATTATTCTTAAACAAACCCAAACACTTAGCGTTTGACAACATCTAAAAATACAGTGAGTAAATTATAAACATGAAAATGTGTAGACTTGCTTACCTGCTTTATCCTTTCATTCTATATGTGTATACAATAACAGGATTTCTTAAATTGCAGCCCTAGAGCTTCATGCTCCAGCAGATGATATTGGTACAATATGAGTTTAACGTCTGCAACTGAAGTTTCTCAGTATTGAACAAGCACTGTATGGGTCTGAGATTCCCTATATACCACCAGCATGTTGGTTCTGGCCCTGTTAATGTTTAGCATAGCTCCTGTGGGAGGCTGGGAAGTTAGGACTAGGAGAATTCACTGTCTTTGCAGAGATATTAAATACCATCAGCCAGATATTGAGATTTACTGAGTAAGAGCACTGGTCTATGATTATCTGTTGGGGTTTTTTTGCTGCTGTGTTATTTTTATTAATTTATGTTAGCAGATCATTACTTAGGCTGAAATTATATGGTGGAGGGTCTCTGTAATTCTCTTTATAACAAATAAAAGAAAATATAGTTGCCTGCAATTACTAGTCTCAGAAGGTGCATATTGGAACAAAATATCCCTTTCAGCCACTCCCCTTCAGAGGAATATTTTCTTTTAACTTTTCAAAGTACTTTACACACATGAAGGGAATTGTTCATCCTTTAAATTGTCATTGGTAGCACTAAGGACTACCTAGTTTGGAAAGCATTGACTTTTACAACCAGTGACTTGTAACTTTAAATTCAAACTTTGGTCTTAGCTGGCAACATAGACATAGGAATGGGGACTTGGCATAGTATGTTGAGGAAATACTAGGTATAAGTACACACTCGTCAATCACAAGGTTAACACGGCCATTGTTATGTTATTTCTTTTTAATTATGTATTGATTTACTGCCTGAAGGATGTTCATTCAAACTGACATTAATGAGAAATAATTTCATTCAAGTAAGTGAAGACCTGCTTAATTGAAATTAAACCTGTCCTTGAGAATAACTTCAAATTTTTCTGCCCAGAGTTCTTACCTCACTTCTCTTGGCCTTTTGGAAACCACCTGCCTTCACTGGATCTCAAACCATACTACAAAATGTTTAATGTTTGTTTTAATGTTAGATTTTTATGATAGATGTAGTTATGCAAAGTCCAACCTGTGTTTTTAAAGCAGCACTGTAACGTTTCTGAATGGTAATTGTAAACACTAATTTTTGATGTGTTCTGTTTACTGGCCATTCAAACATAGAAGCCAAATTCAGTAGAGGTCATTTTATGGTATTTCACAACAAAACAAGAAAACAAGATAGCTGACATTTGTAGAAAAACGTTGATGCCTTGATTCTTCATATCTGTTAAACAGTCTGGGGAACCAATTTAATGTCATTCTGAGCCCTTACTGCTAACCCAGGCATATAGCAGAGCCTGATAACTCCCTTTTAACACTGTGCTAGCAGCAGCTATCTGGCTTCTGGTTTGCAACTGGCTTAAGTCCAGCTGGTTGTGAGTAGAAGCAGCTTATGCTGCCTGCAGAGTGCCACACAGATGTACCTTGTCTGCCTGGTTCAGCTCTGCCGTGACTCTTTGGTTAATCAATAGGATTTGAATACTCGATTTATTACTGAGCAAATGTGGGCCTTTGGTTCTGGTCTTCAAAGCTTTAAGTGGAATCAACTTCATATCCGTGTGGGGCTAGCTCTCCCACCACGCTGCTTTTAAGAGCTGGAACAAAGGAACCATTAGTCTCAAGAACAAGACTAGCAAGCCCTAGAGACAGGCTTTCTTGTCTGTTTGCCCAGAAATTTGAAACTTTCCCAGATCCTGTCAGCACAGCTTCTACCACATAACAAAATGTTTCTCTAGCTATCATCATGCATATAAAGAGCTGATGTTGTGATATATTTTCCTGCAGAACCCTTATTATTTGGGAGAAATACTGAAACCCAGTATATAGCTGTTAGAGTATGTGAAGTGCTGTAGGTCCACTGTAATGTTGAACAGGGAGAGAAACAAAGGTACTTTGCATAAAAGTAGAGATGCATCCTGCTTCATCATGAGAATGACCCTTCTTCCAGTTTGTGGAATCACCATTTTCCCTGTGGAAACTGTTTTATGTTCCCACTTAGACAATCAAGATGAAAACAGGTCTTGTAGGCCTCATGTAGGTGGTGTATCTAATAGGATTTCCTGTGTAAGATCATGGACTCAAGAGCATGGGTCTCCAGAGTGATGTATCTGCAGAGAACTGTAACTACATGTATTAGAAGTGTTTTTCCATTTTTTAATGGGGATTATGTAACTGATGAAAATGGCTCCTTAGCCAGTTATCTTTCTCTGAGCAAATGTTGAGCATTCAGTTCATGTTCTTCAAATGCCATCATTTAGGAAACAAGAAGTAGTCAGGTATAAGATGAGGACTGAGTTTGTACACAGAGTAATTAAATGCTCTGCTGGCCCTCAAACCCAGAAATATACTTATTTTCTCTCTTTCAGGTTTATTAATTAAACATAATAATGTTAATATAAAAAGCATGCAAATTTCTATCAGTTAAGGTTTCTGCAGCATTACGGGGAATGTGACATATTTCATGACTATCTTCACTCATTTTATTTCAGAGGAAGGTGCAGTGTTCCAGGGAATCAGAAGACGGTTGATCCCAAAGAAGGAGCAATTAAAAAGACTGTAGGAGTGAAGCAGCTTCCAAAACTAAAGGGCTGATTTAATGCTCTTGCCAAGAACTTCCAATCACTTTTATTCATGTTTTTATGTATTTAACTGGAAGTTTCTGAATTGAAAGCGAACATACTTGTGCCATATTATGATAACAAACCCAGACTGGCATGTCTTCTTGGCAGCCTTAGAGTAAGTGTTATGCTTTGCCTAGCGGAATTCTTCCTCTAGTTGCCATCTTTGTTCTGGTATCTCTGACCCTTTCCATTCCGCTTCTCGTCTGTGATTCTGGGCGTCAGGGAGTTGGGAGGCTTGGAGAACATTTAATTTCTTCACCAGCTAGATCCTTAGACTCTTTGGCTGCACAGCAGCCATTGAGAACAGCCTCTAACATTTTTGACCTCTCAAATGAGAGGAAAAAGGAAGAGTGATATAACCTGAAATGTAGTCTCACTACCCAAAATAGTAAATCTCTGAAAATTGCATCCAGGAGGCACCCCCATTCAGTATAGCAACAAAGTGAGTCTCTCAAATAGTCTGATGTTGGGATAGCTGAACATTCTTTCATATGGCATTTTAAAAATTGTTTTTTAAAAAATCCAACAGCATAGTTTACTAACCAGTCTGATTTATTACCTGATGTTGTACAGTCCCTTTGCTCTATGAAATTGTGTTATATTCCATGAGCTTTCTTAAACCAGCACAGACGGCAAGCCAGCTCCAGATTGAGCTTTTTTAAAAACTGGCTTGCCACAGAACCCATGTTGACTACCTTCTTCTGTTTGCATGGTTTAGAAGCACATTGCCATTTCCAGCTACTTTAGGCACTAGTTATGGGGAGAAATGAAAGAAAAATTGAACATTTTTAATTGAGGATTGTTCAGAGCATATCTTGTGGAGGAGTTGTTTGTTTTAAACACTACATATGCATTATGTTTCCTGATATGGGTATGCTACTATTTGAAATTTGAACTCTCAGATGAATGTTTTTATCCGCAGTCTGGCTTCCATAAAAATCTCTTCAGTGGGACTGATCCGCATGTTCTCAGATTTCAAAGTAATCTCTTCAAGGAACAGCAGAACTACTTTGTATTTTCATTCTCAAGCATGTAATCATTATTGCAGTTTAATTACCTACAACATATTAGTCATTAAACTTTGGTAGAATTTTTTTAAATGGCAACAGAAACAATGTTTTGGTAATAAAGCTTCAAACCTCTGGGTTACACCTTAAAAGCTCTTGGCAGAGCAAATGGGATTGATCAGCTGTCCTTTACTATTTTTAAGAGCATTTCTAGCTCTTTGCAGTATGTAATAAAGCTTTTTGTCTCTTTAAGAGCAATACTAATAGTTCCTTATTACTGGCAGCATTAAAGTGAGGTTGTAATTAAACTGTTACAAAAAGATCAATGATGTCATTCTAAAATGCAAGGAAAGAAGACCTGCAGGATTGTACAGCGTATTCATTGCGGAAACCCCATTTTTTTCTCCCACATAGGATGAGACTATAACAGATACTTATGATATTACCATAATGCACCTGGTATCATTCTTTCATAAGCAGGCTGGTCTGCCTGGCCATTTTTTTGCCCGCAGTCACCACTGAAAGCACAGCACAGCTGATTAGGCTAGCACTCTTCTGTTCCTATTTTTCACATGGAAAGTTTCCAGATTTGGATTGTGTTGGCATTTGTCATTGTGGAGAAGGGGAGAGAAAAAAATCACTGTAATGGGTCCATTGGCATGAAAGACAAGGGACATCTGCAGTAGTGAAGGTTATCCAGTTCTTGGATTCATGCAGCAGAAGGTTCTTACTCCTGTCGCTGAATCAAATGTAATAGTCAATGCATTCAGCTCCAGTCCCTCTAACACCTTGAAAGAACCAGAAACTTTGCATGAACATGGCAGAACAACATTTGTTCACAGCAGGAGACGTGAACACCTCCATCAGGAGTAGTGCTCACTGAAGTAACAGTTTTGAAACTTAAAAAGAGACATTTATTGCGTTTGGTACTGTAATGACCAGGGGAGAGGAGACAGCTAGGTCCTTCTTAGTTCCTGTTTCAGCTTGCCAGAACAAGCTCAGAATTTGAAACTCAGTTGTATGGTAATTACTTAAGCCTTAAAATTTATATTTCACCATTTTAATTATGTGTCCAGCTATAGTGTTCGCTATGCAAAATGGTCATAGCTCTGTGCTCTTACTATTTAAATTAGTTTGCATTTCATTTTCCTCTTGTCTTTCTGAACATAAGGGCACTCCAGATGACTAAATGTGGTGACTCAAGTTTCTTTGTAACAGGAAAAAGGTAGTTCTTGGTTTCAGAAGTGTTATTTCTTTTGACCTGAACAAAACTTTTGCACTGTTATGTTTTTTTCTAATAGCTTTCCCAAACCATGTTGGAGTTTGTGTTTTGTTTTATTTTCTGGGAGGATGGACAGGTATTTTGAAATCCCTGGATTTTTTTGGTGAAAGTTTTTCTCACTAGTATTCTGCTGTGCTATGAAATGTTTTTTGTTTATGTTTGAAGCAATGAATAGTTGTGTATCTGTACATAAAATCTCAATGAGGATTTGAACCCATTTAGGAGTAATGAATCCTTCAGTGCACAGTATGTACTATTATTCTCATTTTAGACACGGAAAACTGAATCACAGAGCTTGGCTTTTTAAACTTGGAATGGGACTGTAGTGAAGTCTAGTCTTTCCCCTAATTTAGTGATAGGGTAAGCTTTTATCGTATTGCTAACTGCCAAAAGGTATATTCTGTCTCTTAAAGTCTCTGTGCAGAAAATTCGAAACAGTGGACAATCTAAAGATATGAAAGAGTAGTTGAATTTCTGGTTGCTATGGTCAGTAAGTGAATGGAGGTAAAGATAAGAGGGAGATAGTACCAGAGTTGCAGGTTTGAATATAGCTAACTTCCTGCCTGTAGTACAGAGTGGAACTGGGATTCCAGGCCTGCTCATTGTAGGATAAATGCCCATAATTGATGGACCAAGAAATTTGATCTCCTGACGCTTGGAATTTGAGCGCATGCTTCCTTTATGTGGTTACTCATGTAAGTCCACTGATTTCAGAGGAGTCGTAACTTTGAAGTAACTGTGGCTTTTGAAGTATTTACACTATTGTTGCTGTAAAATGTGAATTAAAAAACTCAAATGCTGGCAAGCAAACATTTATTATTTCCCAAACTACCATTCATTTTTTAAGTCTCATGGTTTAAGAGGGTATTGAGTCATGATTTTTTCTTTTAATAAATCAGTATCGCAGCACTGCATTTATCTCTATGACAGAATAAAATTAAAATGTTTACTGGATTGATACAGACTGTGTGGTTGATTGTTATGTGATTAGGCAGCACACCCACAGACTCTAGAGAACTTGGGTGATGAGTTTCCTTGTATTCAGGATATTATTAACAATAAGCAGAATATTTCATTGCTTAAATAATTTGTTTATTGATGGGTTCTCCATATAAATAACTGACTAGGTGGCACGGTTCATGGCTTTGCTCACATTCCACCTCTACCAGTAAAGATGAGATGTGTAATTTACCCCTTATGCATTTCCAGTAGTGTAAGCTGCTGCACAGGCATTTTTAGAAATGTAATATAAACAGAGCAGCTAATCAATAAATAAATTAACCCTTAGGTTTTTTCTGCTATACAGTTGCTGCTGTTGCTGCCAGACTGGTGTCAAACACAAGCAGTAATTTGAACCAACCCTGTCTGGAAGCAAAAGTAAGCTGCATGAATAAAAGTCACAGCTAATTGGAACAGTTTTATCTCTTTACATAGGGGTCTCACAGTAGTGATGGACATCCCTGGACAGACAAAGGCAGCAATAGGTTGTACAGGTCACTTTAACTCCCTCTTCCAAAGATACAAATATCGTATGTAGTTCTGTGGACTACGTCTTGGAATCGAGTTCTCCTAGACTTCCCTAATCAGTCCTGTGAGTTACTGACCAAGAACCACACATAGCCCAAATTACCATTACCTTTCTACAGAAGCAGAATGGAGATGGGAGCAGGCTTTCCCAATGGATCTTGGAGGGCAGACTGTTGCATCGCTCTACAGAAGGGGCTTACCCAGGCTGCTGTCCTATCTGAGGATATGGCCAAGAACCAACAACAGCTGAGGTGTTAGGATTGGTTAAGCTCTGAATCCATTCAGGATGCTGTCACATAGGTGACATCCGCAGCAGTCACTCCTCTACATGGCATGCTCTGTGTAGGTGACAGCATCGTAGATCGCATTCTCTTAAAAAGACTATCAGGACTTCACATGTTTCCTCATGAAGTAGAACTGAGGTATATTTTGTGTTCTCTGGCTGGCAAAACAGGTAACAGCTAGTTGGCTTAGCTGTGCCCTTAATATTATCTTACAGAAACTTTTTGTGGTACTTGTAAGTGCCTTTAGCAAGCTCTAAGATGTCCTTACTATGACCAGACAAGTTGACACGTCACCGGATAGCAATGAGAAGAGGTATGCCTGATAGTAGTAATACAGCAGCAGGAGGAGGACTGGAAAGGAGAGAAGGGAGAAGTGTCCCTTTAGCATAGGCCCATTATGAACATCGCCACTTCTCCCTCTAGAGAGGCAGATTGTTTGTAAGGCCTATGCTGAACAGTTTTGCCTGTTACAACCCAACACAAAACAGGTCTGAAAACACAGTACTGACTCATTGCAGGTGCTCCAGTGCAGCTGGAGATGCTAATCAGTTGCTTGTGCCTGGGGTACCTGAGCAGTTTCTAATGGTGCTTAGAGTATGAGTTGGGCTTCCGGGTATAGGCAATGCAGTTTCTTCACCTCTTGCAGCCAGGAGTGCTCTGGTGCCTTGGCCTGGCCTCTGTCTGAGCATCTCCACCGTCCCATCTGGATTAGATAGCAAAAGGCTCCCAGGTGCTGTCTTCCCTAATCTAAGCAGCATACCTTCAACTGCAGTCTGGTAAAGCTCGTGGACTCTAATCTCCACGTAACTCCTATCTCTCCCTTTGTTGCCTGAGCCACCACAAACTCTGCTTCAGGAACCCATCTGTAGAGTAGAGAAAAGGGTATGTTCCTGGAGCTGAGAAGTGATATGAGATGAATACACCAATGCCGGAAGGAAGCCAGCTGGTAAAGATACAATGAGCCTAGATAAGCCCAACCAAAATCAAATGGATTTTCTTTTTCCTTATAACACAGAAAAGGAAAACTAACATTCTGCTATGTTGGTGCTGAAACTTAACAGCTGTTACTGCTGCATCTTACTGAAAAAGTTACCAGTCAATGGTCATGTCAGGGTATTGCCCAATGAACACATGCCAGTATTATGACACCAGTTGCTGTGTAAATCTTGACAAAGAAAAAAATACCAGCCATGAAGAGAGAAGAATCCTTTGTAAGGTGTGGCTGGGAACGCTCCTGGCTCACCCCACCACACTGTACAACAGGCGCTTCTTCCTGCAGCTGTCTGATCGCTCCTCACAACTAGCAAGGGTGTTGTGGGGAATCTGCTAAGGAATGATGTGGTTTAATCAAGCAACACAGGCTGGAGAGCAAAGAAATCAGACACAGCTGAAGGGTTATTTTGGGAGAAGGATGAAGCAATATGGATGTTCCCCTTTGACTCACTCTGTGCCATTTAGGAATACAATACAGATATGCCTTGAAAAAGGAGCAGAAGTGGAGAGGAAGTAAATTAAAGCTCGGGAATTGTCAGTTGCAGCTTGGTGCTTTAAAGTCGTACATCTCAGTGTGAAATAATCACTGTAAATGCCAAGTGTAGTCAATGGCAAGAAATAGGTACTTTCAGGGATGTTTCTACTCTCTTATTAAGAGACATTTAAAATGGGTCAGATGATTCATCTACTGGACTTCTCTCCATTGACTAGAAAGAGTCTTGAGGATGGCAAATTCAGAATAAGCTATCTGATACATAGTTAGGTAGGCTGAATCCTGTGCTAGACAAAGTCTTTCTTTTGCTTGGTCTGTTTAGGTGGTACCCACAATCAGTAGAGAGCCGGAGCCAAGAAGAAATATTGATCTGCAGCTTGACTCTCCCTTGGGTCTATCTCTACCTCATCTATACCATGTTTACAAGGCCCACTGATACATTCTCATGTTACAGCAGCACTTACAAGGACAAATAATCTTATTTTTTGTTCCCTTCAAATAGACTTGGTAAGTAAGTTTTGCGTACTTTTGAAAGCAAAATAAGTGCTAATATTATTCTAAAACAAAAGACTTCTCCAAAGCCTATGGAACTCCAATATAAAGTTGGAAAAATTCAGCCCATAGACCAATTTACTACACCTCTTAGGGGAAATGTGATGTAATCATACGATAGGAATCAGTAACCTAGAGATCAATAATTTTGTGTGTTCTTGTCTCTTAAAAAGCTGAGCTAGGAATTTACCAATGACAAGTCAAATTATTGGCTGGGCAAATACATTCCTGGAGGATTAAAATAGTTCACGAGTACTGCCAGGTCTGCAATTGCTGACAATATAATTTCATTAATATAATATAGTTTTAGGGCAAGGAAAGTTTATCCAAATGCACTATAACTGTTGTGATGACATCATCTGCCGTGCCTCAGACTATCATCAGAAGTCATTTACTTCTTTTTCTGGCCTAGCGTCTCTTTTGGATACTGAGCAAAGAAGACAAATGCTGCTCTTGTGCTGTCTCCTACATCCTGGCTCAAAGGAGTGCTTGTGCAAGAGCCTTGTGTAAGGAAAGAAGAGAGTATGAAAGAGTTGAAAAAGCACATTTCTGTGCTGCGTTTTCTACTTGGAACATCTGAACATCTGACATCCACTTGGGACATCTAAAAAAACTATTGCACCATGCTTTGCTCACTGCCATCTTGGTTAATATGTCTTAATATTTACAAATATCTCTTCAGTGGCAAATGTTTCTGAGCGTCCCTCATAGACATGCAAGACTGGGTGAATAATGGGAATTCCTAACAATCCAAATCAACAAAAACAAAATGCTTGCCAGAGAGAGAACTGTTATGACACGTACCTCTCTCCAACCCAACCAAAATTAGAAGACCAAACATTCCCTATTACAGAACATCATTCTAATTCCGTGGCTATTGATGCTGGAACTCATTTAATTGTTAGGAATGAAAACCAAAAGGAGATAAATTTTCCAAAAAGGTATTGGACACCACTTTTCTTTCATTAGTCTTGGTTATCCCTATACAGACTTTTCCAACAAAATCGAGCCTGCAAATGTAGTTAATTAAGCATAATCACTTGAATACCTGGTTTGTATACTTCAGTATTCTTTTTACCAGGTTTGTGAAAATGGAACCATTTGTACTCAGTTTTAAGCAATCTTCAGTCATAGCTAACAACAGTTGACAACAGGAGCTATCTCATTCTTCATTGTAGTGTCACTGATCTGGGTGGTATCTGAGAACTTGAGGCCCGTAGGCTGGAAAAAATGCTGGTGCTGGATGGAGGGAAATCACCTGGAGAATGCACAGGTATAGCACTGGCAGGCTAAGCAGAAGAAATGAACTCTAAAAAGGGACTGGACCATCCAGTGCATGGTGAGCTCACCGGCACATCTATCTTCCTACAGTTGCATCCAGTTTGGCTTTGCTTTTAAACAGCCAAACAGTGGGACCTCCTTTATTTCCGTTCTCAGGCAAAAGATCAGTGTCCCAAGCGTTACAAGGAGGCAATGCTGACAGTGTCCGTTTCTATTTCAGCCTACATGGATTTCAACTTCCAGAGTGCAAATCTTTTACTGTAAGGTTCAGAGGAAGCATCTGATTGCAAATATCTGGGCTCTGCAAAATCTGCTTTTGGGCCATTTAAACTGTGTATCATTGCACTGAGGGACACTTTTCAAAGACTTAGACCTAGACATGCCAGCTCTTTGCATTGGAGCAGTGTGTCCAGGCCCTGGGGGCACCACCAGCGCTGCCTCTCCCTGCCTACCCCCCGGGGCCTCCCCCACCCTGCCCAGCCCCAAGCCATCAGTTCAGCCCAGCCTGGGGCCATCAGTTCCTGGCCCATGATGGCCAGCTCCAGCCCTGCCATGGCCCAGTCTCAGCTCATCCCTTTCCCTGCAGTAGTGCCCGATGCCCAAGGCTGGAGCTGCCCCAGCTGCCCTGGGCTGTCCTGCTCCCTCGCGGGCAGTGGGACAAGCCCCGAGAAGACACCGTCCCTGCATCGCCTGGCAGTGTCACATGCAGAGTCACCTTCAGAGAGGCTGGGGACACTCCACGGCTCCTGGAAATCTGGAAACCAGAAATCATTTGGTAACAGAGGTCACTGGCCACTGCCAGTGCTGTCAG